TTTCATGAACAGTTTGCAATTATTCCTTAACTTTCACCCTCTCGAAAGCGAACGTCCTTCCCAGTCTGCTTATCCTCGATCTTCCACGTCATCGCTTACACAGATCAGCAACAAAGGAGCTTTGGACTCCCCGAGTACGTCTTAACACGAAGCACTAAGCCGGTAAAACTCCAGCTGTACACCTAGCGAGGTTACATTGGCATGTAGCCTTAGAGAAATGATTGGATTTGAACCGTCCAAGTGTCACCACGAGCCCAGTTTCACTAAAAAGTCACGCCAGAAAAGCCGCAGCTAGAGTCCGACCCGCTACTCAGCTATGCAGGTAGTGGTCAGGCATGTACTTCCCGAGACTGCGCCGCAATACAGATTGGTAGAGCCTGGGTCCATGTGACTGCTTGCATGATGGCGATGTCCTATTCTGGTATTACATATCAGGGGTAGTGAAGGCTAGAGCGGGTTTTCAGCACAGCTTGGGCGCCAATCTCTCTGTACTGTGTGGCTCACGCCGCCCAAAGCCTGACGTCTAGAGTCTGAACACGGGTTTGGACCCGTATCTGGGTTTCGGAGTGGCCGACGAGCTGAAAAACGCGGGTTGGAATCTCCCTGCTGAGTAGACGGGCTCTGATGGGAAAGGGGCAGGACCTGTAACACAGCCTGAAGCCTGGGAATGCATTGTACTTCCTCATTTCCAGTACGATTGTTGGTGGGAGATTTGCTCACGTTTCCATCTAAGAAGAAAGGGGCTTCATGCAAGGCTTCATCGCCGCCGACACTTCGCAGTCGCATGATACATTTGGGTACACGACGCGAAGCTGATTCAACCCTAGTCTGATATGCCGCTGGCAAGGGTGTGCAGTTTCGAGCACGGTCTCATACGGGCTGCTGCCTGGTGGGCGCTAAATGCTATTCCAGAGGGCTCTCCGAAAGGATTCACATAATAAGAGAAACCTCAAGCGTGGTCTCTTTGCCTATTTAAACCTCTGCGTCTCCACTCTCCTCGCAGCGCCAGCACGTCCTCGAGCCACAACAGCAGCGATGGCATTGTTCCCTGACACTTTTTTCATACCTCACGCACAAGGTTCTCTTCAAATAATACAGTACAGTGGGCCTCCAAAGCCTAAGCAAACCTCTCTTCGGAACCCCTCAAAGGCCCTATCAAACAAACACAGTCCAAAATCGAACACTCAACTGGAGAACAAAGAGGATCTTGTACCAACGTCGGACGAAGTCAAAGTCATTGATTTGACATATTTAGGTAGGCACCCCTACAGCTGGCGTAGCCATACTGTGTTTATTCCAGTGTTCTATAACGACTAACACAACCATATTTGGAGAAGACAACAGCGATATCAGCAGTAGCAGAAGTAGAGGAGATAGTGATATTAGCAGTTGCGACGATTTTGCGCCCCAGAACGAAAGTGAAAGCGAAGAGTATAAGCGAAACTTGGGAGAAGGCACAGAGGAGGAGAGCTCAAACCAGCCAGCTCCTTCTGAAAATGTTAGTCAAGGCAAGTTCCGGGGTGCGATCGTGATAGTGGCTCTCGCACACCATTTCTGACATTGCGTAGAAAATACAGTCGTTATGAAAGACAGTCAGCCCATCGTAGATACAAACGAGGGCGACTCGCACGAAAATGATGCAGGTACGCAGATAAGCAATCGGCTTGAAGTTTCGAGCATCACAGCCTCTGATCTTCGCGGCGGGGAGTGTCCTATAGACACAGAGGATGTCATCGACTCCGATGCGGTTGGAAAAGAAAAGACTCAAATGAGTGGGTTCCCGCGTCGCAAATTTCTAACAACGCCGTCAACGAGCTCGTCGAAGATGAATATCGAACAGTCAACGCAAGGCAGCCCTCCTACAATTGAAAATACGAGTAGTAGCAGTAACAGCGATACCGATGACGATCACTATGATCGCGGTAATCAGACTGCGTGGCTGACCCGCAAGCGGAAACGCTTCTCGCCAACTAAGCGGCACATTCGATCGTCAAACATAACATCGAAGCAGCGCCTCAAACACAACGTGCGCCCAGCGAAGCATCGAAGGCTACTCCCCTCCGGTGGCAGTCAGTTCTCTAACCGTCCTTTGGCCCTGAAACCTCTTTCAGGACCACCGTGCAGCGGATACGATGCCAAAATCTGCTACAGCGATGACAGCAGCGATGACAGCAGTGAACATCGCTCGCACAAGCATAAGCGGAAGCGCATGCAGGACACTGCGAACGACGACGACGACGACGAATATGAGGTAGAGAAGATTCTCAATGCCCGTGTCCATCGCAGAAAGCTACAGTACCGTGTCAAATGGCTAGCATATGAGAAGGATCCGGAGTGGTACAATGCGTCTAACTTCAAGAATAGCCCGTACAGACTTAGGGATTTTCATGCGGCCAATCCTTTACACCCAGGCCCCCCAAGAAGGTTGGAGATGTGGGTAGAGTGCTGGGAGAAGGACAGAGATGCGGGAAATCATCCTGATGATAATAAGCCTGAAGAATTAAACAACTAGGTGGGATACTGTTGGCGGACTGGCGTTTCGGACTCAGGGTTGTTCTATTTTCTTATTTCTCCTCACTACTAAGTTAGTGCAACCTTAGGTTTTCCTCCTCTTACTATTACTAATCATAGATTACCTCCGTTGGCTTAACATTTTCAGTTTACTTGAGGGAGGGGGAGATGAGGATATAATGCATGCTAGCCCTATCCGCCAGGCCATCGTTGTAGCAGCGCTTACCACTAAGCGAGAGTTGCTTAGCGTGTGATCAACGGTTGCTTGTTCACAGAAACCGGAATCTGCAAGTGCATGAGAGTGTACGGGTAAGTGCGTTCGAGATCCATCACTCAGTTTTGCGCATATGCTCATTTGGGAAGCGTAAGCTGCTTAACTAGGTGCTCCAGAGAGCTGCTTACACTAATAGAAGAAGTTTTACAACCAGAGTTGTCAACACACAAGCTCATCAAATCGAGCTAACGTGATATGGTAATAGGCTAGCTTTTTTAGACCTAATCATTACGATATCGCGTTAGCTCGGCTTGATGAGCTTGATCGTTGACAACTCTGTTCACAACAGCTAGTGAGACTGATGCACCACTTGGGATGTTGGAATCAAGATCGCCCCGTGTGGTCTTTGCCGTGTCGCTCGGCCTTACGACGAGTCTTCGGTCTAGACCTGCACCATTTCTTACAGTAAGCTGGGAAAGAAGAGTGACGTGTGTTGCCATAAATACGTTGTCGCGCTAATTAGCATCCCAAGTGGTGCGGGTAACTACACGTCTTATTCTATTTTAGTACTTAAGCCCTTTATCGGGACTAGAAGAAATCCTTGTTAGCATTCATCTACAGGATTACCTTCTTGTTATGAAGGTCGTACCAGTCCATAAGCGTAGTATTTTGTACTAGTACGGCGTTTGTATCAGTCCAACGCTTGTACTAGTTCATAAGCGTGCTATTTTGTACCAGTCCACAAGCGTGCTATTTTGCATCAGTATAACACTCGTACCAGTACGATCAGCGTACCAGTCCACAAGCGTGCTATTTTGTACCAGTCCAGTCAGCGTACCCTTACATCCCCCGTACTAGTCCACAAGGGCGCTATTTTGTATCAGTACGACGCTCGTAACAGTCCATAAGCGTGCCACTTTGTATTAGTATGAGGCTCGTAGCTCGGTGGGCTGGAAAGAATGCCAAGATAGCAAAGATCAAGACTAACGTCCGTCCCTGTTGATTGATTGATTGATTTTGTCCTACTCGGTTCCAGCCGTGATCTCCACAGCTATGCCCGGATGACTGGCATGGCAGACAGCCGACGCGATGCGGACGTGAGTCCACAACGCCCCACTTCACTCTCGAAAGAGCCATCTGTCCCCAGAGGCCTGCCGTTGTCTGGCTTCTATCTACGACTATGTACATTTCGTCTCTAGAAGTGACGTCTTTTGCCTATGTGTGTGTTCTGCAAACTGTGTTTCCATGTGTATGCCGTGCTCAAAGCCTCGTGTGTGCAGCGTTGTTCAAGGCTCGTAGAGGCACAGTTGCCTCATGCTTTGCGTCTGTGGTACCTTCAGTCTCCCCCTAGCGTTCAGCTGTCGTGTGTGCTAGCTTGCCCTAATACCCCTAGGGCTCAAAGTATGTTCCCCAATCTCTGTTGTTCTTCAAGTGTTATGATGCTGTCCACTAGGTTCCTATGTGGCCGTATCTTGTGGTGTGACCTGCCACCGGGCACAGCGGCAGCAGCATTTCGTCACAACGCAGCTTCACAGGAGCGATGCTCCGCTCGTGCGTGTCGTCAAGCCTACTAAGCATGAGAGCTCTCATGCGAACCTCCTCAGACCTTGTCAGGTGTGTCGAAGGGGGACCAGTCCTTCAACACGTGGGGCGACAGTGGACGAGGCTGTCTGGTGATCTGTAAGTATGTAATGGCACCGATAGTAGCATGCCGGGTGTCTGTGAGGTAGTTTGCGTGAGAGATGATGCCGTTCAGCTCGAGGGCTCGTCGATGCGGGACGTTGCAGACATTGCCGGATGGTGATGGGCTAGCCAGGAAGCCCATCGATGACCTTGTGTGTGCGTGATGTAACCATGATGCTGAATGGGGTGTCTGGGCTCCGTCGTCGCGTCTTGCGTTGCTATGTTGTGGCTAGATGGCTGCCGCTGTATTTGGTGGACGTGTGTCATGTTAAGTAGCTTGCTCGCAAATTTTTGCTTTCTATGCCGGCCAGGGCCGCAACAGCGGCTGTGCAGGTGCCAAACCGGCGCGGGGGGGACGCGCGATGGCCTGCAGAGACCGTTGCGGCCATTGGCGGGTGTATTTTCCGTCCCTTGTGACGATAATTCGGAAAGTTGATTTCTCGCTGTTTGTCGTGTTTTTCTATTCTCCGTCCGTCCCTGTGGGTCGAACATCCCTCCGCAACGAACCGCCAACATTGCTTAACTAGTTAACTAGTTAAGTACGACCCGCGCACCTGGCTTAAAGCAGCTTAGCTGTGATCTATCGTTGCTGACGCTAGGACCGTGGCTGTGTGACTGTGCGGCGCTTTGCCAAGCGCTCTAGGATAGGAGCTAAGTTAGTTAAAGGCCCTGGAGCTCCAGGACAAAGGCCTAACCTAACCGTGACTGTCTGAGAGATACCGGCCCACGTAGGCACCCCCGGAAATGAGGCCACCGACCAGGCCGCCAAGGAGGCAACTGGATGGAGAGAGGACGGCCGCAGCCAGCTACCAGCAAACCCGCCCTCGCAGCTGTACCCGCTCAGAACGCTCAGAACAACGCTCAGAAGGTGGTGCAAGACACAGGCAGAAAGGGCGTGAATCAGCGCATGGAAGACAAGACAGGCCGCGGGACATACAGACACATGCTGACGCTCACCAAGAAAGTGCTGCAGCTCCACGAAAGGCTTAGCAAAAGGGAAAGCGTGCTGCTGGTGCAGCTGCGAACCGAGAAGGTAGGTCTGAATGACTTCTTCTTCAGCCGACACGTCCCGACCGTTACCAGTCTCCGCTGCAGTTATGGAGAGAGACAGCAAACCGTCGCCCACTTCCTCCTGCACTGTAGCAGGCATAAGGACCTCCGGAACCGCATCTTCGCCAACCCATCCGGACGAAACAGCCTTAGAACGATTCTGAGCACGCCGCAGCTAGTCATCAAAGCTATTGGGTACTTATACACTCTCATGCACTTGCAGCTTCCGCTTTGCGCACGCAGCTTAGTTGTCATCCCACGCTCACCCCTGTCTCGCTTAGCGCAGGCTTTTCCTTAGTTGCTCTAGCTCTTGTCAGCATAGCCCTTACCCCCTACTTTTAGAAACCGCTAGACTTATTTCTTATAAGTATTACTAAGTATCTCATAGTGTAACGTATTTTATCAGTAAGCGGCCCACATCAGTAAGTGGCCCACCCCACCAAACTTGACCTAACGTTTTGTGCAATTGAGCCATAACAACGTAATAAAATAAGATAAAACCTAAAAAATATAATTTATTATGTAGCTCTACACTGAGTCCTTGTGTGACCTTGAACGTGGCACTTTGTGCATGTCGGCGGCGCGCGCTGACGTCGCTGACTGCTCTCACCCTGTTCAGCCTCTACAACCACCCTTTCTGCCTCTGCAGCAAGCTGCTGAGCCTGTCGCACCTGGAGAGCTCCACCAGAAGCAATATATTGACGCTGCTGATCCTGCTTCTGTCGCTGACGCTGGTTTTCTTCGCGTAGCCTCTTATTTTCCTCTGTAAGTATTGTCGCTGATTGCATCGCAAGCTGAGCGCTTTTAGCAAGCTGACGTATCGCGATACTTGTAGGGCTCTCTGGCTGCCGGCGCAGTCGCTCTTGGAGATAGCGTACTTGCTGCTGAAGCTCTGCTACCGTATGTGGTGTTTCTATCTGTACTACTGCCTGCGCTGTAATATTATTGTCAATAGCTGTCTGTGGTGGAGACGGCGTCCAGACGATAGTTAGCGACGATAGGACGCGATCTAGATAAAAAGGGACAAGGCCTGTCGCCTGAAAGCCTGCTTGGATATTCTACTGCGTGAATATAGTCAGCCGGATCCGTGTATATGCTGCAAGAAAGTCTGTTTTGTCAACATGGTAGACGCCATGGCGGGCGAGCTCCTCTACCTCGCGTCCGTACGCGCGCTTAAGAGGGGAATAGCAGCTCACATCTAGAGGCTGTAGAAGATGCGACGTGTGAGGCGGCATACAGAGAGTGATAATCTTGTTCTCTGTACAGAACTGGTCAAACTCAGATATAGCGTGGCTGCTGTGGCCGTCTAGAATAAGAAGGCGATAGACTCCAGCCGTACGAGCTACTATATACTGGTTAAAATGCTTCACCCACTCTACGCCAAGCTAATCAGTCGTCCAGCCGTTATCTGAGACGCCAACAGTCCAGTCTAGTAGGAGGTTGCGATACCAGTTACTCTGGTGGACCTTACCAGACAGGATCACGAAGGGTGGAAGAGACCAGCCAGACGCGTTGACGCACTCGATTACTGTCACCCACTCGCGATTACCTGGCTAGACGACGACTGCTCTGCCAACTCTATTAGCGCTAGTGACTACTTTTAACGTTATAGCGACGCCCATCGCGAATCCAGTCTCATCAAAGTTGTAGATATCCTAGTTAAGGACGCCGTACGTCTGTCGCGTCTCCTCTACTAGCTTAAACCACGCTGCGATTATACTAGGATCTTCGTAGGAGGCGCGCTGGCTATTGAATCTCCTAGTCTACTTTGTCTGAAGCTTGGGCTAGCTCTAGATAAAGCGCGATACCTATTTCTTGCCTACAGGTGGTGGAGGTAGATCTTGGCCACGCGCGGCGAGTAACGCGTCTGCCATTCGTCGTACGTCGATAATATGGGGTGGAAAACCGCGTCGGTCAAGCTCTAGAATCCACTAGACAAGAGACTGCTCCTCAATAGGCGATAGCTTGCGGTTGACAGAGGCTGTCTCTAATCGCGCCTGGACACCATGAAGACGTCGTTGGAGCGTTGACTTTGGCACGTCATACGCTACTGCGAGTGCGCGCACAGATTGTTTTAGATTATTACGATAGGATACCATAGCGAGACTTATTCTACCTTCACAAGAAGTCTGTATAGGGCGTTATTGTCGCGGCATCGTGGTGGTTGTGTAGAGCGTCGCGTCAAGTTTGGTGGGGTGGCCCACTAACTGATCTGGCCCACTTACTGATCCAACACGTTAGTGGGTATTTTACTGAAGGATGTGTGGCTGTGCAGCTTGCACAAGCGCTCGGATTATTGCTAAATCCGACTTGGGATTAGGAGCGGTGATAAGACTTGGCCCGGGTTCGAAAGCCTACTTTGACACAGAGACGCAGTCCAACGCACAGTGATACCCACTTGTAACGTAGAGACGTACCATTATGACGCCCTCAAGCTCCGACGCCTGCTATTGTCCTCTCCGCTGACCGAACGAAAAACCTGATCAAGCCCACCACGTCCCTATTGCTCTATGAGTCCATCAGCGCCGGTTCCTAGACTAAGCTGTAGCGAGCTCTAGTCTTAGTTTATTGGAAGGGAATACGATGCGACAGGAAGGATATAAGCTAAGATAGAGCGTGGCGGGCCTGGAATCAAAGCCTGCACTTCGGCAAGTGGGTTCAACCGAGCGTTACTGCCAAAACGTCGTCGTTGCAAGCGCATACGAAGGTGGAGAGGCCCTAGCTTTATATGATACATGAGTACTGTAATCTTCAGAGCTATAGAGGTGTGCTTTAGTTCAAGCTATAAGAGTCGTAAGGAGTTTTGGGTTGTTCATGTTTCCACACGGATGAGTAAATTACTAGCAGAGCTGTGACGGTGGCCATGCTTGGCAAGACTCTACCCTATCTAGGGGTTTCATAGTTACAGCTCTCTTCTCTTCACCCATATCTACTAACCATCGCCTCCGGCGCAACCCTCCAGCTGGTGCGGCTTGGCCATCCTCCATACTGATGGTGGCAAACACCACGTACCACCGAAGTACCTACTGCAGCTGCTTACTAACTAGTCTAGTGTCGAGAATGTAAAACGTAGGTTTATTTGAATATGTGATATATTACGAGATTGATCATAGCCTAAGAAACTGCAAGATAACAAGAGACTAATTACACCATAAATCTATAAGAAGAAGTTTGAAGGACTGTAGGTCTATTACTAGAGATTAATATGTGTCGCAGGCGAGGCATTGTCACAAGCACGTGCAAGAGCTAGCTGCGTTAGTAATCTTGCTGTAATTCCTGTAGATAGGCATTAGCTAGGGTGATCTGACATGCATTACACTTAATCACACACAATATACCACATTCACTCTTTTGACGTGAACAACCACCCCATGCACACAAAAGTGCGACATTATCCCTACCACAGACACGCTTCTAAAGATATTAGTAGTGCAAGGCTGTGCCTTCTAAGCAGCGCCTCCTATAGTCGCGGGTTCGTTGTTTCCACATGTTCTCTATTACTAAGACTGTGCCGCAATCCCTTACTTCACATACCCTCTCCCTCTTCTCTATTCTGGTCCCCGAGCGCGGCTGAAACTGAGTAGGATTAAATCAATTAATCAATCAATCAATCAGGGATTGCTAAGAAGGAAATAGAATTACGGTATATAGATCTTAGTAATAGCTCTTACAATTCACTGTTTTTAACTTCGTACTATCAGCGCAATATATTGTTACTGCTTTTCAGAAAGCCCCAGCCTTTCCTGTCTCTAATGGCAACCCTTATCTATTTCACCTCGCTTTATCCGCGAAAACCAATGCTAAGCTACTACACAGGCTATCTCATTGTTAACCACTGGTGGCCCTAACACGTTGGAACTAGATGTTCGGTATTGTGACCGGCTCCCTAGAATAGAAGCATCCAAGCTGCCTGAGCCGTGAGTCCAAGTAGTGCGAGCGAACTCGCAGCAAAGACCGGAAAGCGTATGGAAGGATTATTGGTAGAAACGTGAATGATGCTGTGTAACATTCTCAGCCCTACATAAGTCCACGCCACACTGACAGTTCTCTTGTCCTTGACATCCAAAAAGCTCAGCCCCAGCAACACTGCGTAGAACTGAGTAGGTTGTTCCAGTAAGTTGTTGAAATTATCTGCCGGCCATTGAACGAAAGCTGGTAACTTTTCTGCCTTCTGCTTTTTGACGGTTGCTGGATCAAAGGTGACGTTGTACTTCGAGAGCGCTGGGATCCTGCGTTTGTATAGTAGGAATTCCATAGCAAAGGTCCAGATATTAAGGCCGACAAGGGGGCCAAGGAGAGGTTTGTTGGCAAGAAGGGGGGACATGGTGGCTGTTGGCTGATGGTTCGGGCCAGGAAAGTTGGCAATTGCCTCAATTCGGGGCTGTAGAGTAACAACGTTTTGGTAGGTAGAGGAAGCAAGTGAGCGAGCGATATAAGTCCGGTCTAACAAATTTATTTCCTGTTAGTAGCTTAACGCTAAGAGCGGTTAGTCGAGCTTATTAACCCGCGATCCACCAATATCTCCGTTGAAATAGACTTATTTGTCAGCTCCATGCAGACGGTCCGATTCTACCAATAATCGAGACACCCGGCTTTAATGACCTAACTTGATTTAGTTAATTACGTCATAGAACATGATTTCTGTTGCGTACGTTATTATTATTATTCCATTATAGTCCTGTATCAGCCGTTGGCTATGTAGGACTTTGGCCAAAGGCCGTTCTATCTAACTAGTTACAATTTGGTACGTTGTGCTGTATTGCGTGACTATGGTGCTTCGGCCTTTGTCTAGTTAAGCTAGTACTAGCTTTCTAGACGCCTGGTGCTAAAGAGCAGTTTGGTAACAGGGAGAGATATAGAGCAGCTAGGCTGCCTTCTAGCGAGCTCTCTTAGGGGATAGGAAATAGTGCTAGTAAAATCAAATTCGTTGTTCTTTGTTTTTCTTCTTTTCTTCTTATTTTTCTTATTTTTCTTCTTTCTAGTCCTTCTTGGCCTACATGCCTATTTTCTTGTTCCTATCTTCGTGCTAGTAATAAAAGCTAGAGTAGCTTCTATACCGCTCGTAGTGTGGAGTAAGAGTGGGAGTTTAA